TCCAGAGGACTGCAGAGACCCCAAGTGGAAAATGAGGTGTTGTTCTTCCAGCTTTCACTGAGCTTTGCTGGAACACTAACAAGCCAGAGGCAGAGATGTTGGCCAGGGAAGAGGGTGGTGTGTTAAAGTGGCAGGCAATTGGAAGCTCAGGGTCTTTTTTGTGGGCAGAACGTAGATGTTTTGCGAAGCGGTCACTCAGTCTATGCTTCGTTTCCCCAGTGTAGAGGAGATGACGTTGTGAGCTGTGAATGCTGTAGACTAGATTGTGGGAAGTGCAGGTGAAGTGTTGCTTCACCTAGAAGGTATGTTTCAGCTCTTGGATACTGAGGACGGAGGACTGAAATGGGGAGGAGTTAAACCTTTGGCAGGTGCAGTGGGCCAGGAGGGGTTTGGGGTGTGAAGTTGTTGAGGGTGAAGGAAGAATGGACCAGGGCGTCCAGAAGACAACATTCCCTGCAGAAGGCATGTAAGGGAGGGGAGGGGAAGGGAATATGTGTCTGGTGGTGGCATCTTGCTGGAGGTGGCGGAAATGGCAGCTGATGATATTCTAGATGTGGATGCTGGTGGGATGGTAGGGAAGGACAAGGGGAATACTATCACTGTTGCGGGAGGGAATAGGGGTTGTAAGGGCAGACGTGCAGGAGATGTTGGACCCGGCTGAGGGCCCTGTTGACAGCAGTGCTGGGGAATCTTTGGTTGAGGAAGAAAGTGGATATTTCATCGGAACACAAATGATGGAGACAGAGGAACTGAGAAATGGAATTAGGTAAACTGTGTGAAAATTCCTTATAGATGGTTAACTACCTTCATTAGGAAACTGGTCTCAAACTACCAAACTCTTAACACCAAGAGACAAGTTCTTAAGTGCTGTGTATGTACTACCAAGGGAAGAATTGAAAATTTTAGGGAATATATTGTGCATAGCTAGGGATAGGAGAGTACTGAGTGATGCAGCCAATTCTTTGCTTTTCAGTTTTAGTGTTCTGTGGGCTGACTGGAAGTTCGGTTTTGACTTTGTCTGTGTACTGGCTAGTGTTGACTTAATCCATGCTGACTGTTACAAATGCTAGGATATTAATTGGCAATGTATGCCTGTGCAAGACCTAATAGTTAAGCTTAAAAAGGTGTGCACTTCATACGACAGATGAACTAACTTTTGTTAAAAGTAATTTTGAGCATGGGAAATTGATTTGGGAATAAAGTAGAACTCTTTAACCTGGACTACTTCATAAGTTCATGAGATAACAAGGCTGAGTACGATACATGACATAAACAAGCTTTCTCCTGCTCAGAATAGAGTCATAGACCTGTTCAGCATGGAAACAGCCCCTTCAGTCCAACTTGTCCATGCTGACCAGATATCCTAAATTAATCTAATCACATTTGCCAGCATTTGGCCCATATCCCTTTAAACTCCTCCTATTCATACACCCATCCAGATCCCTTTTTAAATGTTGCAATTGTACCAGCTTCCACCGCTTCCACCGGCAGTTCATTCCATACATGCGCTACCTCTGCATGAAAAAAGTTGCCCCTTAGGTCCCTGTTAAATCTTTTCCCTCTCACCTTAAACCTGTGCCCTCTAATTTTGGACTCCCCTACCCTGGGGAGAAGACCTTGGCTGGTCACCCTATCTATGCCCCTCATGATTTTATAAACTTCTCTAATGTCGCCCCTCAGCCTCCACTGTAGAGAAAACAGCCCCAGCCTATTCATCCTCTCCGTGTAGCTCAAACCTTCCAACCCTGGTAACATGCTTGTAAATTCTTTCTGCACCCTTTCAAGTTTCACAACATCCTTCCTATAGCAGGAAGACCAGAAGTGAACAAGAACAGTCATTTGTAATAGCCCCCTAGAGAACATAATTAAAGATTAGTTGTATCAATTCTCCAACTGGCAGACACTTAATGGGATAGCTGTAACCTTCTCCCAAAGAGCTAAGTTTATGTTGGGGGGAAAAATGCATATTAATGTAGAACTGGAAAGAGTAGGAGTGCTTCTCTTGATTTCACATTGAAACACCAAATTGCTGCCACCCACACAAGCTCCGCACAACCTGTCCTAAAGTCCTGATTGTCATATCTCCTTCCTGAGTGGTGAAGAGGCTCAAAGGGCTGAATGGCCTACTTGGTCCTACTTTCTATGTTTCTGTCAATTCCTCCCAAATATCCACTGTTTGCTCCCTTTCCTCTTCTGGCCACCACTTCAATAATGTCATGATCACCATTCCTTTCATGGTTGGAACGCAAAATTAGCCACTGCCACCCTCGATTGCATCCCCTATTTAGCACTCCTGTGCGAACTATATTTGATGATGCAGTAACCTTGAAGTGAAAACTTCATTGCTGGCCATCTACGTGGCAGCATTCTGTAGGTGTTTATTGGTAACTGGTCTCATTTAAATAATATCTGAAGACCCAATATCTGTTGCCCATTGGACCATGCTGTTTAGAATACAGCCATTTTCTGCGTTCTCAATTGGCCAGTCTGTAAGTTTGAACAAAAAGCCATTATAATTTACTTCAGCTGTTTTACCTTGTGCTATAAAATGGCTTCTATGATCTTTTCACAGGTCAGATTGCTTGACAATCTTCTTCAGCATTGGCCATAGCCTGAAATCAGAATGATAGTTGCCAAGATTAACCTACCCCTTCATAAATGATTGTTTAGATGCCCATTTTGAAGGAACTGTCTGACCAAGCCACATTTTAAGGTCAATTAAAAGTGAACTTGATGATTGAAACCACTAGAGTTGATATACCAATGAGAATAGTTAAAATGATCTGATTGTTTATAAGTAACAAGAGATTACTTTTAAAAAGCTCTTTTTAGGTTTGTATTAATGTAATACATGGCAACATGTAACATTTAAATAGAATAAATGCAAATGTATTCATGAACCATGAATTTTTTCTGTTTATAAATTTCTTTAATGTGGAAAAAATAATATCCATGATGTAAAACAGTTGTCATGTTATAATTATATTTGTTGTCTAGCTTATAAGATTGTGAGAAACAGGAGCAGGAGTAGACTATTTGGCAGCTTGACTAGACATGGTATATGCAGGACGGATGTTCCCAATGACAGGGAATCCAGAGCCAGGGGTCTCAGGCTAAGAATATAAGATGAACCATTTAGGAATGAGATGAGAAATTTCCTCACCCAGAGAGTGGAGAGCCTGTTGAATTTGCTACCTTAGAAAATAGTCGAGGTCAAAGCATTGTATGATTTTAAGGAGGAGTTGGATACAGTACCTGTGGGCTAAAGGGATCCAAGAGTTGTGGCGGGGGCGGAAAGCTTTGAGAAATTTGTTTGGTTTGTTTACTTTCAAGAAATTTACATGTTAGTTTTTTAATTCTATTTGCATATAATGTATAATTTAACATTTATATGCTCTCGCTCGCGCTCTCTCTCTCTCTCTCTACACCCCTCTCCCTCTATCTCTCTCCCTGTAATGTATATCAACACATTCATTCATAGGATATGGGAATTGTTGATGAAACCAGCAATTATTACCCAGCCCTATTTGCCCAGGAGAAATTGATGGTTCTTGGACCCCTGCAGTGCTGGTAGGGACACTCAAGTGTGCTATTAGGACAGGAGATGCATGATTTGAAATGCAGATCCAAGTCAGGGTGTTGTGTTGTTTTGAGGGCAACTTGCAATTTGGGGTATCCTTGTGTATCTGTAGCCCTTGTCCTTCGAGATGTTGAGGTCATGCTTTTGGAAGGTCCCGTAGAAGGAGTCTTGGGTGAATTGCTACTTTATCACTATCTACTGGCACAATCTACAAGATACAATGACTGTATGTAGTTGCAGAGGGGATGCATTTTAGTGCTAAACTTAGATAGCATTGAGCTGCTTGAGTTTTATAGGATTTGCAGTGATCTTGACTTCCACCTTTGTAGATGGAAGAAGAGATACATACCACAAAATTCCTCATAGCCATTGTGCTTATATGGCTTGTCCAGTTCATAGAATTCCTACAGTGTGGAAGCAGGCCATTCAGCCCTTTGAGTCCACACTGACACTCTGAAGAGTATCCCACCCATGCCCACACACCTACCATATCCCTGTAACCTTGCATTTCCTGTGGCTAATCCACCTAACCTGCACATCCCTGGACACTATGGGCAATTTAGCATGGCTAGTCCAGCTAACTGCACATCTTTGGACTGTGGGAGGACACCAGACCACCTGGAGGAAACCTATGCAAACACGGGAAGAATGTGCAAACTCCACACTGACAATCGATTTGAGGCTGGAATTGAACCTGGGTCCTTTGCACTGTGAGGCAGCAATGCTAAAACACTGTCGCCCATTTTAGTTTCTGGTCTGTGGACATCCCTAATTCTGACCTTTATGATGAAGGAAAGGTCATTGAAGTAGCTGAAGTTGGTTGGGTTTAGGACTTGAGGAACAACTACAACTAGGTTTGAAATGAATGAAATTGGTTTAAATTATCTACCAATTCCTTGTTCCTCATTATTTCAGTTGCATCATCCAAGGGTCTCTCATTTACTTTGGCAATTCTCTTTTCATTTTCTTTGGCGCTGTTGTTGTTTTTATGTTTTTTGCCAATGTGCTTGCATAATCAATTTTCTTCCTTTTTTAGTAGTTTTTTTAAGTCATCCTTTACTCAGATGGGTTTTTACAAAAAAAAAGTGATAATTGCCAATGCTACTGATACTGAAATTAATTTTATTTTCCACACTTAGTAATGGAATTTAAGTTTCACCAGTTGTGATTTTGGGATTGGACCCCATGATTAGCTTGAGGTTTACTAATTACTAAATTGCATTGTTTTGAGATTTTTGACGATAACCATTAAAAGTTGCAGTCATGTAATGTTTTTCTGCGTTTGTTTTTGTTTCTGATGGGTACGAATATTAGAAAATTTATAGTATCTTTTAGTGTTGCTTTACCTAGTATCCTTTGTCACTTTAGATCTGCTTGCCTTTTTGTACTAACTTTGTATTGATATTCATTTTATCTGCAGCATTTTCAGTTGGCATTGATTGATTCCAATCCTTGCACTCTATCCAAAGCAGAAAGTAAGTAATTATATTTTTGATAAACTTGGGTGTGGGGTGAATACTTTGCAAATGTGTATGTCCAAAACTAACGTGGATCTAGAATTCATTGAATTCGTATTAATTACTTCATTCATTATGCTTAATTGCCAGTTAAATGTAGGCAAAATTGTGCACATCATTTTGTGTTTAAAGTATGGATTTCTAAGTTAACACATTGTTTTTGCAGATTATGCTCAAAATCCCAACAGTTCAGAGTGATGCTTAAGATTAATTCCAAAACATGCAGGAATTTAGTTGAACTGCATACGTTTAACTGTGTATTACACTTAGTATGACAAGTGGCTGCAGCTTAAGGAAAAAAAGCCTTTTTGAAATCCTTAAATTTATCAGTTGAATTAAAAGAACATGTCAGCATTTAAGGTACAGTTGGTACATCATCATAATTCTTAAAATCTTGCACTGGATCCAGCTGAATAATATCGTTTCCCAGCATTCTAAAGTATTAGATGGGTGTATTAGTTGAAACTGTGTGGATCCAATGAGTTCCTCTCCACTAGACAATTTTTCTCCGCAATAAGAATTCATGTGCAGCCTCCAAAAGTGAAGGTGTTGCATTGTTTATAGCCCATCTCTTCCACATTACTTGAAGAGCCATATTGATTAGTTTGTTCACTGCTATGTGCGGTAGTTTTATCATGTGCAGCATTCTCTACGGGTTATTACAAATTATTTTATTTATAGCTCAGATGGAAGGCATTTACTAATATTTGAATTCTGGAAGGACAATGAGAATGGACAGTAATAAGCAAACCATTGCTATCCATTCACATTCCTGATCTAATTTTCTATTGTAGCTGCATATATTCATTTTCGCATGCCCTATTTGTAGATGGATAATTCTGTGTGTGTGTGTGTGTGTGTGTGTGTGTATAGCTATATGCTCAACACTCATTTGGGCATCAAAATACGAATCCCCTTTAACCCCAAGCAGTACTGATGAAAATCAGCTGGTACCTTTTTCTGGTGATGATGAATTTGTAAAGTGTGTCAAATGTCAATGGATCAGATCCACTTTACACAGTCCAGTTTAAAAACTGGTCTCTGCACTGGTTCGATATGGTCAAAGAAAACTATATGTCATTGAAGTCAGGCAATTCTGATGCACCTGCAGAAGACTCTTTTCCCTGAGTTTCAAGATACCTTAATTGATGGTTTTTTCTTCTTTCAGCCAGGGTTAAATTTCTTACCCAAATGAAGTATTATTATAGAGTCATACTGCATGCCAGCATTTGGTCCATACCCACCCTCGACTCTTCCTATTCGTATACCTAGCCAGATGCCTTTTAAATGTTGTAATTGTGCCAGCCTCCTTCACTTCCTCTGGCAGCTCATTCCAGGCACACAATCTTTCCCCTCTCACCCAAACCTATCCCCTCTAGTTTTGGACTCCCCTACCCAGAGGAAAAGACCTGTGGCAGCATTGTCGAAAGTGAATTGCTGCAGTGCATTTTGTAGCTGGAACACACCATAACTACTTTGCATCAGTGGCAAATGAAGTGAAAATTAGAGCTAACAAGTGGGTACCAATCTACTGGGCTGCTTTGTTCTGAGTAGTGTCCAGCTATTTGAATATTGTGGGAACTTCACTCATCCAGGCAAGTGCAGTGTATTCTGTCACTCCTGATTTTTACCTGCTAGATGGTGGACAGGCATTGAGGAAACAAGATGAATTACCTTCCACAGAATTCTCAGCCTCTGTTGTGTTCTTGTATCCACAATATTTATTTTGCTGATCCAGTTCCATTTCTGGAAAATGGGAAAGGCCAGAATGTTGATAGTGAAGGATTTAGTGAATGTTAAGGGATGATGGTTAGATGCTTTCTTGTCAGAGATGGTCATTACCTGAACTAGTATTTTTGGCTATTATACATTGCCCTTGAGAAAGTGGTGGTGGTGAGCTGCCTTCTTAAATTGGTGCAGTCCTTGGGGATGTAAACAGACACAGTGCTGTTTGAATTGTGAATCTTACTTGTTGCCCAAGTCTGCGTGTTATCCATTTCTATCTGCATATGGACACAGGCTGCTTCAATAACTGAGGATTCGTGAACAGGGCTGAATATTGTCCAGTCACACACTTCTATTTATGAACTAATGATGATTGAAGGTCATTTGTGAAGCAGCTGAAGATGGTTGAGCCAAGAACACTACCCTGAAGAATGCCCTCAGTCATGTCCTAGAATTGAGATGATCGACCTCCAACAACCACATCCATCTGTTATACAGAGTATGACTTTGGCTAATGGAGAGTTTTTGCCCTGATACCTATTGATTCTAGGTTTGCTATTTGATGCCATTCCTGATCAAATGTTACCTTAATATCAAAGGCAGCAACTCACCACCTATAGAGTTCAGTTATTTTGTCTCTTTCTGGGCCAAGAATGTAATGAGATCAGGAGCTCTTTGACCCTGGAGAAATCTAAATTGACCATCAATGGAAGAGTTTTTGCTAAGCAAATGCTACGTGATAATTCTGTTAATGACCCCTTCCATCTCTTTGATAGACAGTAGACTGATAGGGTAGTAATTGGCCAGTTTGGATTAGTGTTTTTTTTTGCATGTTGCTGGCTAAATGCTAGTGTTGCACCTGTATTGGATCAGCTGGTTCTGGAGCACAGGTGTTCAGGAATATTGCTGAAATATTGTCAGAGTCTGTGTTTATTATAATCAGCCTACTTGGACATTATGACACACCACTGGAGCTGGTGGGACATGAACCTTGGCCTTCTGGCCTAAAGATATCGCTGTGTCAGCATTTTTAAAAATTATTCACTTAACCTACAAGTAGTGCTGCTAGAACACGTGTTTCGTTAACACAAATTGGCTATAATGCGATTGATGAATAGTGGACGCTTTCTGCTTTACAGGTATAGCAGTTTCCCTATAATGCAATTTTCTACAGCACGAGGTCATGCAAGACTGTTGTGTTATAGGAGAACTACCTGTATTTTTCTAATTAGCCTGTTCAGAGATATTACTACACACATCATCTGGAGCAGGTGGGACTTGAACCCAGGCCTCCTGGGTCATGGGTAGAGACTTGACCTCTGCCACAAGAGGGCCTTGTCAAGGTCTCTACCTTTGCAGCATTCATTGTCTTCAGCTGTTCCTTGATATCACGAGGGGGTAAATTGAATTGGTTTTATACAAGTATCTGTGATGCTGGGAACCTCGGAGGAGGCTGAGATGGAGTCATTTACTCGTACTTCTCTCTCACTAGAAATTGTATAAGTTGAGGTGAAAGCATCTTAACATTGATTTGCTAGGCTTCCCCTGATATTGAGGATGGGGATAATTGTTGAACCACCCCTTTTCTTAACTGTTAATTGTCAACCACTATTCGTGACTGTGTGCCAGGACAGTAGAGCTTCGATATTATCTGGTTGTGGGATCTCTTATCATTGACGCTTGGTTGCTACTTCAGCTGTTTGGCATGCAAGTGATCCTGTGTTGTAACTTCAACAGGTTGATTCATTTTTAGGTATGCTTAGTGTTGCTGCAGTCATGCCCTCCAGTATTCTGCATTGAAACAGCGCTTATTCCCTAGCTTTGGTAATGGACGTATATGCTGGGCCATGAGTTAACAGATTGTGGTTGAATGCAGTTCTACTGCTGTTGACCAACAATGCATCGTGGATGCCCAGTTTTGAGTGCTTTGTTCAAAATCTATTCCATTTAGTATTGAGGTAGTGCAATGCAAAATGATGAAGGGTATCCTCAATAAAAAGAGATTTACCATTGTCATTTCCAGCGGCTAGGTTGGGGCTAGACAGTTTGATGGTTTCATTCCTTTTTTAGACTTTCTAGCAGCTTGATGCCACAGTGTGTTTTGCCAGTGCATTCCAGAGGTCATGTAAGGATTAACCTGTGCTGTTGGCCTAGAATCTCTCTCAGGCTAGACATGGCAAGGATGGCAGATTCCTTTCTCTAAAGAACATCAGTGAGCAAGATGGGTTTTTTTTTACATATATGACAACAATCCAGTATCATACAGCCATAGTCTTACAGCATGGAAACAGATCCTTCGATCCAACCAGTCTATGCTGGCCATGTTCCGAAACTAAACTAGTCCCACCTGCCTGCACTTGGCCCATATCCCTCCAAACATGTTCTATTCATGAACTTATCCAAATGTCTTTCAAACATTGTAGGTGTACCTGCATTCACTACTTTCTCTGATAGTTCATTCTACACATGAACTGCAGCCTGTGTTTTTTTTTAGAAAAGTTGCCCCTCATGTCCTTTACAAACCTCCCTTCTCACCTTAAAAGTATGCCCCAAGTTTGAACGCCCCCACCTTAGTGAAAAGACCCTTGTCATTCACCTTGTCTATGCCCCTTATGATTTTATAAACCTCAAAAAGTTCCACCTCTGTACCACCAATGCTGTGGTGAAAACAGTCCCAGCCTATTTGTATAACTCAAACCGTCCATTCCCAGCAACATCCTGGTAAATCTTTCCTGAACCCTGTCCAGTTTCCTAATATCATTCCTATAATAGGACGAACAGAAGTGCACACAGTACTCCAGAATATGCCTCACCAACATCCTGTACAACCTCAACATGACATCCCAACTTTTATACTCAGTGGTTTGAGCAATGAAGGCAGAGTTCTAAATGCTGCCTTAACCAGCCTGTCTAGAGCAGGGGATTGGATCGGTGTGAATTAAGTAGCTATGAACAGTATTTAATCAAAATCCTGCTAAAAATTAGGGCCAAACCATTCAAGGGAGATTGTCAGGAAGTGCCTGTACCCACAAAGCAAGGTATAGTTTTCAAACTCTCTTCCACAAACAGTAGTTGATGGTAGATCAGTAGTTAATTTTAAGTCTGAGATAGATAAATTTTGGTTCAGCAAAGGTATTAAAGCATATGGGCTAAAGACAGATGTATGGAGCTACGCCACAGATGATCTCATTGGTGGATCAAGCTCAGGGGGCTAAATGGCCTACTCCTGTTTC